CTACAAGGTCCCTTCCGACCCTACTTCTATGATTCTATGCCTGACACAGGGGTAGCCATCCACAATAAAGGCAGAAAGTAAGTATGCTTTTACTGAATTTTTATCATGGTCTTAAAACTGCCCTAGTATGTGTGTTGATTACATGAAAAGACATTATGTATTCACTTCCTCAAACAGTAAGGTGCTTGCATAACCTCTTTCAAACTCTAGTTTGGATAACTCATGTAAACTCAGTCACAAGGTAAACTCTGAGCTACAGTGCAATTGGGAGAAGGAAAACAAACACGTGTCAAAGAGGTGAAGATGTTTTAAATACATGCATGAAAAGAAGTTTCCTGAGTAAATAAATCATAGGTCATGCTAAACTGCATGGCTTGTCCTTTTGGGAATGTGTGAAATATATCTGAAACTGGAGGCATAAAAGCTTGGCACAGTGTTCCCAGTTGTTAAAAAAAAAAAAAAATGTTTGCTGGAAAGATCAGATCAAATCCAAAATCAAAATGAACAAAGCCTACCCTCGCAACTGGTGAAATAATACCTGTATAATTCTGTATGCAAATAATTGCCCAAAATGAATTATACATTTTTAAGTAGCCCATGGTACAGATATTTATCTATAACCATCGTCTCTTTTCCTTGCATGTTAGGTGCAGAGAGAGTTGGCTGCTGTCATTGCTTTGAAAGCAAGAAAGTCAGGTAAGTGCAGTTGGCCTTGGTACTTTTATAACATCATTCCCCTGTCATATGTTGAAGTATTTGATTCTTCATTGTCAGCTTGTCAAAATCTGTGTTGTATTGGAAAGCAATACTAGTGATACCGAACCTCACTTCCTGTTGAGTGAGAAAATAGAATCTTTTGCATACAGCACAAATAAATTAATTACTGTGGTTTTACTTTTCCCTCTTGTCGCATCTAATATACCACCTGGCAAAATGTAGTGGTGCTATAGTTCTGAGCATGTGGAGTCTTTGGCTCTGCCTCAGTTCAGATTTTGTTTGTTTGTTTCTATTTATCAGATTCTTAAGCATTGATTTGGTTTATATGTTTCTTATAAACATGGTTTTAGATGTTGATTGCTTTTAAACTTTAAGACTTTTGTTTTGAGGTGCAGGGTATAGCTGTTATATAGATGTTTTATGTACTCAACAAAAGGTATTGCCTTAACTTAAAAAAAAAAATCCCCCCTTGATGTTCCACACCTTGTTATTTAAAACACTCACTTGTGTCCTGAGATCTTGTGCCTACTTCCCTGGTCAGTCGTTCCTAACCAATTTAAAGTATTTGAGAGTAAGAGACAGTCTTTTTTTCAGTCCTGCAAGGTACCCATAGTTGTGTGAGCTGCTCATCATTCTCATCTTCCACTGACTTCTAGTGTGTGTCTCTGGTTTAGATAACAAACATATCACCCAACCTCCAGATCTTAGTCTTAACAGGAGCGTTGGCATACTCCAGTCACAATCTGCAAACTTAGCTGCAGCCAGTACCCAGTGCCTCTGGGAAGGTGAACCCCTTCATCTGCCCACTGCATTATTTTGTTGAAGAAGAAAAAAGAAATGTTAAGGTGTTTTATGTTTGTGTAGATTCTCATACCTTGATCCAGTAACCCAGGGATGGAGGTCCTCACCCAGGATATAGGAGGATGTAAATTATTCCTCTGCCTGAAAGGACTCCAATCCTTGACCTCCCCTCCACCTTGGGGTGAATTGTCTAGCCAAGGTAGGTTACTGTCTATGGTGAGGCTGTTCTGCTATGTATAAACAATTAGGTATTCATTGGGGTAGCACAAGAGAGCTTGGCAGTGGTTACATAGGATTTTGTCAGGGTTGTGGTTCTGACCCTTTTTAGGCTTCTACAGCTGCCTTCCTTAACTTGTCTAAACCCCATTTTCCAGGATGCTGAACTGGGAGGTGTCTTGGCAGGAGTGGGTGTTCTCACCTGCATTAGGTTATTTGATAAACCTAATGCAGGCAGAAGCACCCTGTCCTTTTAAAGGTACCACATTGCTGTTTGTTTGTGCCTGTTTTCAGGGGCTAGGGACAGGCATTACACACAGT